AATTCATCGCATATGGTTCTAGGAGAAACTTTTATTTCGTCGCGGTATAAAGTTCGCGCTTTTTTATGAAGGTACAGCCCACGAAATTCACGATAAAAGTTAAGGTGAATCAATCCTTGTGATGGGGTGGAATAGCACTGTCCAAGAATGTAGCGGTATGCAGAGAAGCACGGACATGGGTGACAAGAGTGCAGGCATTTCAAAACCGCTATACCCACTCCCATTTTCTTCACCCGTAGTGGGCATTTGCCTGCGCCCTCTCATCCAATGCGCTCTCTCGTCTACACGTATTCGTCCCGTTCAGGGTTTCACTGCCCTAGTACAGCCAAATAGCAAAAATAAGAAGGCATTCAATACTAGCGGTTCCGACTGACTCAGCTTCTTTGTCCTTCAGTACTGGTCCACTTCCAACCTCTGTCTTTTGGTATGTGAGACACACACGAGTTTGATCGTGGGACGTGCCTTTGCTAAATGCTATGTAACAGCAACAGCTATCATGCACTTCTTTCAGAATAAAAGAAGTCCACTTCAAATAGCTCGTGGCTTTATTACTGTTGTGAACAATGCCAAAAACATGCTCCAAATTTTAGTGAGAGAGGTAATACGGACTTTATTCAATGTTCTTCAAGTGTATTTTACCATTAACACTTGAATTGCACAAGGCTCAAATCCTAGTACCTGCGTGAGAAGTACATGAACGTGCAAACCGGAAAAATCGCGATTGATATTCGTACTAATGAAATCGAATGGTACAGCGTAGTACTCCACCTTCAAAGAAGTTTTGTGGTCAAATTCGGTTATAATAGTTTGGGAAGCTGTGAAGCACACCTCATCACCTTATCGCTTTAGCTTTCACGGATGACACTAATTTCGAAATCGTTTTCGTTTTGAGCGGTATCGAGAGAGCGGTCTTTTCCTTGAGTGTTCCGTTCAAGGTGTTCAACTTCCCGAAGGTGATAAACGGTGGTCTCATGAACCTTTATATAGACGCAACTCCAACCCCGTAGCGGTCATAAACGCCCTCCCTTATCTGGTATGGGGACCTATTTGGACGAATTCTCGTCACTGCCAGAGGCTTTACCACTTCGATCAAAGATCTTGTTAGCTTTTGTAGAACATTGAAGCATAATTTGAACCTCGATAAAAAGACTAGTTGCAAAGAAAAAAATCTTTTATATAATGAGCTTGCATTCGTGTGAGTTCTGTAGCTTGGAACTTTCCAATTAAATATATCAGTTACAGTGCACTTCGTCAAGTGGTCAGCCTGTACGTTATTCTCGTGAATGGTGTCACTCCCTGAACGTGCCGTTCTTTCGCTTTTCGCCGATGATGCGCACAAATGTGCAGCTGGACAACACGGACACTGATGTCATTATCCAAATGCTTTGGGAAACAGAGGTGCGTGGAAGCATCGCTCAGTGCAAAGGCAATGATGCTTTCTCAGTTTTTCGCAGGCTAGATATTTTTTCGTCATTTCAATGGGGGCTAGCTAAAAATACTGCCAAGGTTATTCAAATTTAGAAACTGAGTTAGATTTCTCAGGGAGTTTGGCAGTAGAGCAATCACACAATACTGGAGACTTCTTCTTTTATTGCGACTCTGGGGAAGTGCAAGCACTGTATGTGGGCCTAGTTAACGTGCTCTTTTGTATTAGAGATTCCTGTCGTGTCGTAATTCGATGTTAAATCTGTTGTCCCAGCAGAGAGCACAATGAACTGAACTTCTGTCGACGAACTTTATACTGGATAAACCGTTGTAGTCAGCAGATACAAGTTAGTAGTGACGATTTCAATCAAACCCCATCACACCCCAACATAAACTCACGAATCAGAGAGAGGCGAATTTCAGGCGACTTATAGGTTGATAGTTTGTTAGATTTTTGTTTTCGTATGGTCTGCTTTTTGTGAGACTTCTAGGTCATTATCCATTACAAGTTACTGCAGCGCTGTGGTGCTTTCGCGATGAACTTGTGCTGTCAGATGGTGAATGTTCAGCTGCCAAGACCCAAAAAACGCGTCGTAACTGTGGCACGATCCGATTACTGCATGGCAACATTCGTCCTACACTAGATATAACAGTCACCCAACAGAAGCAACTTGACTTCGAATGGAAAGTGCTGACCAACTTACCGTGAAGCCAGGATACTAGTCCAGCAGTGTTTCACTTTTCCTTTCGCTATCTAATGCTACACAAAAGAAAACCTTCGAAGATGAGGATGACATAGATTGCAGCTGAGCAACATTTTCTTGCCGAACTCAGGGCATTCCTTGTCGGCAATCGAAGTTTGGCAGAAAAGTGGCGAAGAATGATAAAATGCGACGGTCTTTACCTTGCCTCTTCATGTGATTTCTTTTTTACGGAAAACCAATACAACCATAAGTGTTGAAATCTGCAGAGACTCACTTTTCTACAGGCCATATAGTTCACAAAGGAAGCTGAAACTGTTTCTCGAGGCGACTGTGTTCTTCATCATCCGCTTTCTTGCAGGTTATTCTCGAATCGTTACGTGCGATACAATACCTCAGTACAGTACAATTACTCTTCAGTAACGAAAGAGCATGCTCTTTGAAACAGCTTAAGAGTTAGCTGTATTTTTAGATGCATCGTTTGATTGAGGACTTTTCGCGATGACAGTGGTGATCCTATTACCAATACCTTTACTCCGATTAATCCTACCGAATTGTAACAGTAGCAGCTCCCTAGATCATGAACGGAAATTAAGTATCATATGCTCACTTGCCAGATGTACTTTCTCAATCATCTTTTTTCTCCTTTCTTGCTCCCATCCCATCAAGTATTTTCGGAGACTTGATTTCGATTTCTCCACTTTGATTCTAGGACTCTGACCTGCTCTTCCATCCACCAGTTTTGTTTCCTGCCACCGGGTCATGTATTTTCCTTCGAAAGCTCAACACCTTCGGCAGTGATCACTTCCACATGAAAGGTCAACACATCGGGGAGGGATGCTTATGCACAAGCACATGTGCATAAGTAAAGGTCTTGCGATTGTGATCGCCTGGAATGAAACATCAACACTGACTTGGACATGGGCTTATTGGCAGCAGGTTTCTCGTAAACTTACACGCCCTTTTCGTTCCCCTCCACTTGGGTTGACAATATCGTGTGGTGTGGTCAAATGTGTTCGGTGCATATTTGTATAATATAATAGTGTGCTGTAACAATCACAACATCACCTCAACCGGCAATACACCATGAAAAGTAGCTGGTGTTCAGTGCATGCTTTCATAGTAGTGGGCTGCTATCCCAACCATGTCATCACAAAACGTAGATGCCCTAAAATCTGCATACTCCACAATTTTGTAGCGGTTAGCTTATATCTATGAGCTGCCTGACCTTTCTGTAGACAGAAATGCAGACATACAACAGTGATGCTTAAAAGCCTGCGAGTTAAAAAGCTACCTATTCATGCAATTGAAAGAGTGCATCAATGTTAAAAAGCAGACGTGCCGAATTTCAGTGTTATATTCGTGGGGAAGCAAAGTGTGAACTTCAACAACTTGCCAGATTTTTGGAGATGAAGCCGTCACAAACGAAAAGAGACTGCGACCAAAGTATTAGAGAAACCTCCGACAGCAAGCAACTAACACCAATGAATGATACTGCGTAAAAACATTGCACAGATAGTTGCAAATATTAGGCATGGATGATTTAAATGACTATTGCATAATATGAAAAATCTCTTGGGAATCTTTGTGGCATATTTTATTAATTATTTATGAATAGTTGATTACAAGGCTGAGATCTCCGGAAGTGCTTCGACTTTTCTGATACTGTGATATGTGTAAGTATGTGCTGAAAATGACCTAGTATCATTTTGTTATCGTGTTGAGGTATTACGTAATGGTGCATTTCGCTTTGCAATCGCTTAACACTACATATTTCATACAGAAAGAATAAACAATTAATCTGATGAAGTTGTATACCAGCGAACTGCTGAGTTTGCAAACACATTTGTCGGGTAGAGCATAGCTCACATATGTGAGCATGTTCTTGAGTTGAAACAGTAAGTCGAGGTGCGCAGTTAAGGCGAGCCTCATCGCGAATTGATTGAAGACAAGGTGTACCTCAGGCGCGTTTCTGACATATCATCGAAACACGAAAACGATGACTGAACATGGCTCATGTAATGAGTGCATCTTAAAATGTTCCCGATTTACCCCGTCTACATTCACGAGAAATCGCTAGTTACAAAGGTCTTGAAGAGATTCAAACATGTATTCTAGTGCTCACGGAATCATAAATGAACTCGACGATTATCGCTATCGATTTGGATGGTAATGTTCCTCACAC